GAATTCCCCAGCCAGCAAATGCTGGCTGGGGAATTCTGGGAGTTGAAGTCCAGACATCTTCAAGTTGCCAAGGTTGAGAAACACTGATCTATGGGACTTATTTAAAAGAGAGAAAAAAAAATAGGATTGAATTTACATTATGTATTGTACGGGAGATTGCAATGCAACTTTATGCCAATAAAATGTAATTTACCTGTCCAAATTTGTTGAAAATTCAACAAGAACCTCTTTGTCCAATTAAAGTTTCATGCTGCAAAGGTTTTTTGTTTTTGTTTTGTTAAATAGGTACTAATTGTAATTTTTAATTAAAAGGCATCATAACGCTTAGTAATTCTTTTTTTAAAAAAATTTGTAGTGTATCTTATAGATACAGACATTAAGGCACGAACACAATAGCTGTTTATATGGTGGTTTATGTCGCTGGGGGAGGAAATAAAGTGTATTAAAGCTATTAAACTGTATACATTTTATATATCAATAAATCTTTAAACAATCCCAAATAAATTTATTCTTGTTTAGACTGCTGACCTCTTTCCTTATTTGCACGGCCTGATAAATGGGAATGGAAAATAAATTTTATTGATTTGGGAAATTGTTTGGGCTCTATAATCCTTAGGTAAAGGTAAACGTTCCCCTGGCACATATGTGCTAGTCGTTCCTGACTCTAGGGGGCAGTGCTCATCTCTGTTTCCAAGCCAAAGAGCCAGCGATGTTCGACGACGTCTCTGTGGGCATGTAGCTGAGATGACTAAACACCAAAGGCGTATGGAACGCTGTTACCCCCTCACCAAAAGTGGTTTCCTTATTTTCCTAGCGCATTTTTCGAACTGCTGAGTTGGCAGAAGCTGGGACAAGTAACGGGAGCTCACTCTGTTACGCGGCACTAAGGATTCGAACTGTAATCCCTAGTGGCATATAATAAGGGCATTCATGGCAGATTAGTGAAAACCGCTAAAAGTTTCAAGGTACAGAGCGTAACCAAGAAGCCAGGGCAACAACCCCCAAGAAAGTTTTTTCGTTCTGCTTTCTTGACAAATCAATAAACCATTTCTACTAATTGAGGAACAAGGAGTGGCTTAAAGTTGTCCACGTTGTTTGCTAAAGTTCTGCCCTGCTACAAATCCCAAAGTAAAGTAAACGCCCGCTTAAGAGAACACTGTTTAGAAGAAGTTGCCGGAAGGAGAAAGCCATGTCGATGAAGTTTTGGGGGTCGATGGAACCAATCTGTCTCTGGTTCAGGTATGCTACGCGTGAGATAAATCCAGCTCTTGGGAAGCAATTGACTAGAATTGTGAATTAGGATTCCGGAATCACTGGGTGTTGTATTTTGTTAGAAATATCCCAATGGCATTGCCTAGCAACAAGGTAAGAGGATATTTATGATGCCAGAAGAATCCATATTGAACACCAGGAAGAAGTGCAAATAAGCCAAAGGGACAAACCCTTATATTTGGGGGGAGCCCTCCTGAATTGCGAGTAAGATGAAACCATCCGATTGCACCAGAAACCCCCACAACCAAGCATCAACATGAAGAGGAGGTGGTAACTTGGCTCCCCTGAAACTTGAATTCAAGCATTGCTTTGCCTCCTTGCAAGCCAGCTGATGGCTTCCAGGTCAACAAATATGCCAGAAGAATTCAATATATATTATCTTCTGTGAGTTTTTTGTTCGGTTTTTAGTTAAGGACTACCTAGTGACTAGGCGGTGAAGGGTATCAGCGGTGGGTTTCACATTTCGTTGCCACCGGTTCGCAGGCGCGGGCGCCCCTTCTGCACATGCGCCTAGCCTGCGCAGGCGCGTTGCTCACACGCCCCCTTTCTGTGTATGCGCCCGGGCCTTCTGTCCTTGTGCTTTGATCACACGCACGACTTCCGGGCATACGCCCGGCCTCAAAAACGTGCCTAAATAGGACAGCATAGAGGCAGGGTGAGTGGCCGGCCCACACACCATTTCCGCTACTGGTTTGGGCGAACCAGTCCGAACCGGCAGTAGACCACCTCTGAAGGGTATAGAGAAATCTTACCTTGGGGGTTTTTGGGGGAGATAGATCTGGAGATGAACAATTGCAGGAATTGGGTATGTCTACTCTAAGAAAGAGATGGTCAGATGTTAGTACTCTTTCAGTATTTCATTTGTCACAGAGAAAATCCTATTCTCCAGAGCACCTAAAGGCAGGACAAGAAGTAACAGATGGAAACTTATTAAGGAAAGATCCAACTAAGAATTGAGAAATTTTCTGACCGAACAATTGATCAGTGAAGGGCTTCCTTCCAGAAGTTGTGGATGCTCCATTACTGGGGGTTTTCAAGGAGAGATTGGGCAGCTATTTGTCCAGAATGGTAGAGGGTATGCTTCTTGAGCAGGGGGTTGGACTAGAAGACCTCTAAGGTCCCTTCCAACTCTGTTAATGCTGTATTCTAATGTTGACTCCTAGATCCCCAACACAGGAAGTCTTTAAGAAGATGTTGGATAGCCATTTGACTGAGACGGTATAGGGTTTCCTGCCTAGGCAGGGGGTTGGACTAGAAGACCTCCAAGGTCCCTTCCAACTCTGCTATTGTATTGTATTGTATTGTACTACATAAATCAGACAGATTTTGCACTGTTTCCCATAAGTTATGAAGGTGAACTGAAAATGTTTTAACAAGTTGGTGTGGTAGGAAAATTAAAATACAGGTAGGCAAGCTAGCATTATTAGGCAATGTCTACTATATAGTTAAGTGGCTCAGTGGCTAAGATGCTGAGCTTGTCGATCAGATAGGTTGGCAGTTCGATGGTTCAAATCCCTAGCACCGCGTAACGGAGGGAGCTCCCATTACTTAACCCATCTTCTGCCAACCTAGCAGCTCGAAAGCACATAAAAAATGCAAGTAGAAAAATAGGGGAACCACCTTTGGTGGGAAGGTAACAGCGTTCTGTGCCCCTTCGGCGTTTAGTCATGCT